GTCTGATGTGAGTAGTGGGATTTTGCTTGTCTTCTTTTGATCGTGTTGTGTGCGTGGTGTATAGGTGAGTAAGAAAACGAAAATACTATTTGACAAAATGACGGAGAGTTTGACCCTTATTTTTTTTCGTTCGTCACTGAGTTGAGTGAACTTACTTGCTATTTTTGAAGGATAATCGATGGGTGCCGTGAGAAAAGAGATCTTGATGACAGAAAGAGAATCAAAGCATAATGAATTTAACTATTCCCAAGGAAACCCGTTTTATCTCGAATAACCCTATCCACCTATACATGTCTAAGTGGTTCTCATTCTTTATCACCTCTGACTCTTTTTGTCCAAATTACCTTGAGTTTAGAAAACGAGAACAGTTAAAACCTACTTGGGGTGAACACATTCTCTTTCTCTAGGAAGCATCTGGGGCGGGGGTTCGCTACTTTAGGAGCCGGCCCTGTTATCGACCCAGAGTGGACCGTTTCTACGGGGGGGTACTTTGCCGGTTCGGTGGAGACGGCCCGACTTCTGAGATTCGAGTCTTGTGCTCGAGCGAGGAGGAGGAGTACCCCAGACCACTTCCTAGAGGGAGAGACATCTAACACTTCAGTAAAGATGAGAATGTATGCCTAGTCTTAGGTCGGCGGTAGGTCAAAATGAATGACTTTGGCGACAAGTTTCATCAAGTCAAAACTAAGGCGACCGACTACCTTGTCGGTTGCATTGAGGTTATTATCAGTAGTCAACTCGTTGTTGGCGGTTGTTTGATTGTTTTATGGTGTGCGACCCGCGGTGGTCGGATTTTATTCTGATCTTGTGTTATTGAAAGATAAATTATTTCTTTCAATTATCATTTTCGATGGGATATATATTCCTGTCGACTACGGTCGAGTTCTTTTGATGTAATTGTCTGTGAATGTTATAATTCTCTTTGGCTATATGTCTAAAGGACTAGGATAACTATTTGGGTTTCACGCTTGGTTGAGAGCATCCTAATCGACCGGCGTACGCTTCGTACTTAGGAGATCAGCGCCCTAGGAACGGACGACGTTCGGGTCCGCTTGGTGTTAACCTAGCGTATTTATACTACAGCGAACGAGCAAACGCCCTCGACTGACCTACCTCTGCGACTGCATTTAAAAGCTTTCGCATGTGGGTCAGTAGCTCGGTAGGGATACGACCCTAAGGGTGGTGACAGCCCCTTAGGGAAGCAAGCTTATGCCCCGCGGGAACCTATCCTGTCATAGGGGACCGCGGGATGTATAGCTGGCGCACCCGGCAAGAGCGGCGAGGGGACGACGCGAGCGCACCCATTTCAACGGCATGCGGGATTTTATGCGTCATCCCCGAGTTATCTCTTAAGGATGTGTTTTAAGCAAACTCCTGCGTGGCATGGCCAGGAGGGCCCTCCTTTTCACTCGAGGGCCGGTGCGCTCGACACCGGGATCGAATCTGAAATACTGTATATACCACTTGGGTAGCTTCTTTTGGAGCTGGCCGTGGTTATTTTATGCCGACGCGATCTGATCTGGCCGTCCGATCGAGAGATCGCGCGGCCCAGATCAGGCGCGCGAAGATTAGCATGGCCCCTGCGCAAGGATGACACGAATAAATCGAGAAATGGTCCGAATTTTTTCGATTCCCCGCAGTGAATCGAAATCGGGTCTGTATTTTAACAAGACCCTTACCGTTGGCATAAGCCAACGGCCTTAATATGGCGGCGCCAGATGGCACCCAAGAAACGAAGGCTGAGGACTGTAGTCCTCAGCAGTTTCAGAGGGCGCCCGTTTTCAACGGGCAGTCGTTTCGTCTAAGGTAAGTTAGTTTTTTTATTTTTATTATTTTTAGTCGTTTCGTCTAAGGTAAGTTAGTTTTGTTATTTTTATTGTTTTTAAATTTTTCTTTTGATCTTAGATTTTCTTTTCTTAGATTTGGTTTAGATTTTTTCTTTTGTTTTCTTTTGTTTCTTTTTGTCTTTTTTTTTTTTTTTTTTAAAGTTTGTTGGGTACCCGTTCGTTTTGAACGAACAGGTAGCTCTGCGCCAGGCTGTTTCATGGGAATCTCACCGACTCGTCAGGAGGCTGAGCCTCGACAGTCTGGACAACAGCTTATGCGCCTAAATCTGGCGCCGATAACGACCAGGTACACACACACAGAGAGAGAGAGAGAGAGAGAGAGAGAGAGAGAGAGAGAGAGAGAGAGAGAGAGAGAGAGAGAGAGAAGACTACCTACCTACCCACCTACCTGATTGACTTCTCGACATACGAGTCACGAAAGGATGAGCAAAATTGAATGAATCTTGCACTGGAACATGGAAGTGTACGCTGATCAGGTAAGTTTTTTTTACTGTTTGTTTCTCTTTTTTCTTTTTTTGTTTTCTTTTTGTTCTTTCTCTCCCCATTAGTGACCGTTGAGGCACGACCAGCAGGGCAGAAACGGGCAAGAGCTGAAAACAAAAGAAAAAAAATAAAAAAAAAAAAAAAAAAAAAAAAAAAAAAAGGGAAACAAAACGAAAACGAGGCAACTGCCTCGTGGGACAAAAGTACGATTTTTTTGACTGTATGGGAACAAGAAGGATTCCCACTTCGTTTTGGGCAAAATAAATGTGACCGCGAGATCTCAGATCTCGCGACTCACGACGCCCTCGTGGGAAATAGAACTGAGGGAGTTGGTTGAAGAGGGGGAGGGAGGAAGGATGTGAGAATTGGGAGGAGGAGGTCCTACTCCTCCCAAACTGACAACTGCCCTCTTCATTTTCAGGGGAGGGCAGAGTAAAAGGTGGAAGGCTGCTGCATGCAATAGCATGCACCTGGCAGAGGTAAGAGCCAGGTGCAATGAAAATTAGTAGTTAGTTTTTTTTATTTCTTTTCTCTCTTTATTTGTGTGAGGACACTTGTCCTCACGTGGTGCTACCTCTAGCACAAGCTGCCAGAGATAACTGTCAGGCTCCCGTTTTTGAAGGGAGCCTGGAAATTAAAGGGTCACTAAGGAAAAGGCTAGATACAGTCTTTTCCTCGATGTATCTGCCCTGGAAAAAGGGTCCATGTACATCAAACTGAAAAAGGTTGTATCTTTGCAACCCTTTATCAGAAAAATAAAAGAAAAACTGATTTGGAAATGGCAGGAGCCCAGCTATCTCGCCAGATTCCGAGATAGCTGGGGAAAAGAAAAATAAAAATAAAATAGGGCAGTTAAAGAAACTGCCCCACACTAAGGCTGTGGCTGTGGTGCGGCCACAGTCAGCCCTGGATCTTGGCAGATCAAGGGCTCACAGTGAGCCCGCGATTTTGCCTGGGGGCTGGAGTGACGTCCAACACCTCCTCAGCCAATATAAAACAGGCAGCTGCCCCCGAGATGCCACACAATTGCACTCGTGCTGCCAGTGTGTGACGAGCACACTTGAGTGCTGGCTGTTGGAGCTACTGCTTAAGGCAACGTGAGGAGAGGCTGGAGGACTGCAGAGGAGCGCAAGGAGGAGGATTGGGCAGCCATAGCCAAGGCAGGGAGCACTCTGCTCCCCTCACCTCTGGCTGGTGCTGGTCCCACGGGACAGACCCAGTGGTACTGCAGGACTGCGACAGTGCGGCGCTGTGGGATTTGGGCCTGGGCCCAAATTTTACTAATTTTGGCTTGCAATTTTCTCACTATAGTGGGGAAGTGCTGCCAAAATTTCACAGCGGCGGCCCCGGGTTTTACTACAGTAGTAAGGATATGCTACCGAAATTCTGCAACGGCGGCCCGGGTTTTACTGCGGTAGTACGGAAGTGCTGCCGAAATTCTGCAGCAGCGGCACAATTTTTTTTTCTGCGGTGGTGCGGAAGCGCTGCCGGATTGTTGCGGCAGCGGTTCTGTTTTTTTCAGCGGTGGTGCGGAAGCGCTGCCTTATTGTTGCGGCGGCGGTTCTGATTTTTTTCAGCAGTAGTGCGGGAACGCTGCTGGAATTTTTTTGCGGCGTCAGTATTATATTCTTGCAGTGACGGCGCTATTTTACGATAGTAACGACAGTATCTGTGCACTAAGTGGAGGTGGGACGTTGACACAGTGGAGGTGCGTCAAAGTGGTAGTTTCATTTTGAAGTGGCGTGAGGGTGACGCCGGGGAGACGCCGTACTTTGGACGCAAGTGGGGGTAACTAGAAAACGCCGCAAGGATTATTGGAAAGTGATTGAGTACTGAGAGGGTGTCCTGGCTGACGGTCATCACAAGAGAGTAGTGTCGATCACTTTGGTGACGACTGGGTAAAACAACCTTCGCGTCAGGAGAGCGCAAATTTTTATACGGTCTTCTTGGGTGTACCGTTAAAACTTCACTCAATGTCAGTTAAATTGACTCAGTTCCCTTCACACCACTTGTTTTGACCTGTTTCACTGAATGTTGATTGAAAAAGGGAAGAGGATGTGTGTTCTTGCGTGTATGACTGGGAGCCTGACAATGGTAAAGGAATGCATGGCGGTCTGTGCGTCGTTGGGTTTTGACTGCAGGTACGGCTTGTGGGCTAAAATGGATGATGGTGATGATGGTGAAAGGATGGTTGTCTTCTCATCTCTATGCTTATGAATGTGTGTAAACTAAAGTGAAAAAAAAAGACGACGAAAAATAAGCGACCACAAAGAAGAGAAACCTTGATGGACATAGATTTTCTCCCAAGGTCACCTATTCTTGCCCGAATGACCTCTTCATCTATGTCCGTCTGTCTGAATGACTTTCTCTTCTGTGTTCTTTCGTTTTTTCGTCTAAGTTACTTTTGACGTGAAGCGGCAAGAATTTGCTCGTCCGCCGGGAAGGTGCTTTTCCTTTCTTCTATGAGGCATCTGGGGCGGGGGTTCGTTGCCTTAGGGGCCGACCCTGTTATCGACTCAGAGTGGACCGCTTTGTGGGGGGGTACCATGCCGATTCGGTGGAGACGGGCCGACTTCTGAGATCCGAGTCTTGTGCTCAGGCGAGGAGGAGGAGTATCCCAGACCACCTCCTACGCGGAGCGGATGCGTGCCAATAGGTACGCAATTATAGGGGATGAAGCGTTATATGATGATGAATTGGAAAATGAAGCGGAAGAACTCGAGGAGTTTTTACGTGACTGATTTTGATTCGTTCTGATACGCAGATGCCTGGAGCACGACGAGACTTGACGATCTCGAGGTATCTGCTGGTCCGTGATACACCCGAGGAGGACCTCATCTGGAGTGCAGCGCGACTTTTAGGAGTTCGAGATGGAACTCCTATCGACTTGTTCGGCTTCATTGGACTGCTTCGAAATGGCGAGGGATTTTTCCCTAATACTCGCGCACATTTCAGAGCCAACACGGCTCGAACTTCCGACGAGCTTTACGGTTATACTTTGTATTTCCACCACGCGAGTAACCTCCAATGTCTCTCTCGAGTCATTGTGAGTATCAGGATTACCTCATCCGGTAGGCGTTTCGGCGTCGTCCGGATCCGGGATACAGAGGCTCGACACCTGTTTGGACTTAGTCGACCTCTCCGAGTTATAGTTTGGAGGCTAGCCTGTTGGATGACCTCCTTCTATAATACTCAGATTATTAGATTCATGCGATGTGGACGAATGTCTACTTTGATTTTCGACGACGACGAGCTGACACGTTTGGATTTATTGGAGGCACAGGTGCGCGGCGGGCGAGAGATTTACCAGGATTAGACATCGTCTTCTGAAATCTTACTCAGATTTCAAAAAACACTTCGCATGGACTCAGTCCCGTTGAGGAAACCATGTAACTTACGGTTTCACGAGATAATCTAAAAACAAAAACAAAACACTTTATGTAGTTAGGACTGTCGGATGGATAGTATTCGGATTACCCCGATGATTTGACCATCATGCTTATGCATTGAGGGGTAATCGTTCGCATAAAAATAAGCTGGATAGAGTGAAAAGCGAACGTCTGAAAAAGTTGTCAAGCAAAGCAGCGGAAGATGAAATATTTCTGTGTTGCGTAACTTGGCGTTAGAGATGGATACTCCATCATTCGTGGAACAGAAAGAGTAATTATTGTCCAGAAGGGCAAAGCGACCAACAAAGTTGTCACTCGCTCCTCCAAATAGTTGAATATGGTACGGAAACGTGGTCGAACCGGGAGTTCAAACATCGACCACGAACCAGATCACAACTTGTTGATCTGCATGGTACCAGTGATATTTATTTACAGAAGTTATTTATGACAAGTTTCAGTAGTCATGATAAGAAGATCATTCTTAGTTTATTTCTTTAAATTAATAATCTTGGAACGACAATATAAAAGTTATTTCAGTCATACAGGTTGAAAGGAGACACTCTGGCAGACCAGCTCATTGAGTCAACGATTTTGGATTGTGTGATTTTGTTTTAAGGTATGGGGATTTTTTTTTTTTGATTGCTAGGGACTAAGGATCGTTTTTACGTTTGATTGAGACTGTCCTAGTCGACCCGCGTACGCTTCGTACTTGGGAGATCAGCGCCCCGGGGAACGAACGACGCTCAGGTTCATTCGGCGTTTAGTCAAACAATTCCTATACTGCAGCGAGACAAGCAAACGCCCTCGGTTGATCTACCTCTGCGATTGCACATAAAAGCCTTCGCACGTGGATCAGTAGCTCGGTAGGGATACGCCCCTAAGGGTGGTGACAGCCCCTTAGGGATGCAAGCTTATGCCCCGCGAGAACCTGTCCTGTCGTAGGGGACCGTGGGATGTATAGCTGGCGCACCCGGCTAGAGCGGCAAAGGAGCGAAGCAACCGCGCCCGTCTCGGTGGTTCACGGGATATTATGCGTCGTTCCCGAGTTGTCTCTTAAAGATGTGTTTTAGGCAAACTCCTGCGTGACATGGCCGGGAGGGCCCTCGTTTTCACTCGAGGGCCGATGCGCTCGACACCGGTGGAATAGGAACCGGACTGACGCTGGCTGGCGGAGCGTTAGCGCCGTTTGGGTAGCGCTTCACCGCGCTCACGTCGCGTTGTCTCTCGGTCCCGTGGGGGCGTCGTCTAGAACCATCACTAGAGCTCGCACTCTCGCGCTCTCCCGAACCACGTCGGGCACCACGCACGCGCGCCCTGTGCGCGCGCGCATCTTCAAGACCACTGGACAAAACGAATGTGTGAGGGAAACTGAGTGGACTTGAGGTGGCGCGCACGCACTTGTGCCACCGAAACGAACTACTTGGAAAGCGTCGACTTGAACAACCACTGGAGATCGCCCACTCGCCAAAGCCACGTGCGTGCGCCCCGTGCGCGCACACTTCTTCACGACCACTGAATAAGAAGAACGTTTGAGGGAAGCTGTGAGGACTTGAGGAGGCGCGCACGCGCCCTTGCCTGAGAAGGACGTTTTGGACATCATCGAACATCGGAAGAAAAACGACGAACAACTGCCGCTGATCCTGGAGCTCCACAAAGATGAAGACCAGCCAGTCCGAGTGAGAGCATCCCACTAATCCCCGCATTCCTACTCCCTTCCTCCACCGCCATCCCATCTCATTCTCACCCCTATCTCGCTTTCGACCCGACCCTCATGAACCGCAATCCCATACCAAAGACTCTCCCTCAAACCGACTCCATCTCCACCTCCCTCTGACTGACTCCTATTCTCTCACTCTTCGATTGCTTCTCTATCCCAACCTCTCCTTCCCAACCTCCTTCCTTTTACACCCCTATATACTTAACTATAGTTATCGAGTCTCTCCCCAACCTCTTCACACCTAATCTCCCACCCGACTCCAACCTCACCCCAACCTCTCCCAACCCGCCACCTGTCCCGACTCAGCTCGACTTGTACCCAACTCTCGTTTGACCCTCATCCCCGGCTCCAAGATCGTCGTCACGCATCTCAAAATCACTACCTTGCCACACCGCACACCCTCATTTTGGATCACCTACTTTCTAGCACCATTCGTAAGCGGGAACCCGACTCCCTTCGATCCCACCCTCGTTCTCTACACCGACCTCAATCTAGCTCCCAACCTCAACCCCGCTCCGAATTTGCCCCATTCCCTACCTCGACTCCAACCAATCGTGACCCGGCTCACTCACGACCCAATCTCAATCCAACCTCGATCCGCCCCGTTCCCAACCTTGTTCCAATTCGATCCCGATCACTCGCCTTTCTGATTCACTCCCTTCCTCTTTCCTAACCGCGACTTTAGCCACGATCCCGACCCCGACCCCGAGTCCAACCAAAATCCCAACCTTCCTTCCTCCCGCCCCCGACCCAGATCTCAACCTTGATCCCAACCTCATCTCCCCTCTTTCCCAACCTAGATCCCATCCCATCCTAGATTCGTTCCCAACCACGGCCCGATATCACTTCCCTCCTAACCTGACCTCAAGTCCAATCCCATCCCACTTCCGAAACGCATCTACCTCATCGCACCCCGACCCCATCCCGACTCCAACTCGGCCCCACCATCCCGATCCCAACCCGAACCCATCCCGATCACATCCCAGTCTCGGCCCGCCCCCCATCTTTTGGCTCCCAAGCTGACGCGTATCTCTTCCCACATCCCTCCTAACTCGTTTGCAAGTCTAACTCCAGCCTCCCCCTCTGTAGCACTTCTACCTCGTTCCCATCTCGTTCTCTCCCGGACCCCATCCCGAACGCAACTTGAATGTAACTCGATCCCACCCTGTCCCCAGCCCGATCCCAACGTAACTGCATTGGGATCCTAACTCATCCCATCCCGACCTCAACCCCTCCCAGCCCCGACCCCATCCCGATCCCAACCCGAACCCACCCCGATCCAGCCCCAATCTCAACCCGAGTCCATCCCGAGCCACCCCGACATCAACCCAACCCCATCCCGATCCCATACTGATCCCACCCCAGATCCCGAACTGAACCCCTCATCGACACCGCCCTTCCCCAACTTTCATCCTCGATCCTTCCCCCAATACTCGTCTCGCTATTATCACCACCCTCCCCCGCCCGGAGCTCTCCCCGCCCCGGAGATACACCCAACGTACCCCCACATCAACCCGACCTCTTCTACATCCCGATCCCCACCCAATCTATTCCGATAACACACCGTGCTTCCCCATCACCCATTCAATCCCAATTAACACTCATCTCCTCTCAATGCTCACCACTCATCACTTACCCCTCTAGCTTGGCGATCCGGACACTCATCGAAGACTTCCGGATACTCAACAACTTCCTTTTCCCCGGCAACTCCAATCATCCGACCTTCTAACCAGTGCTCTTACATTTCTTCTCGAATCCCTCAGGCCAAAAATCTCATAGCAAAAGCTTCGATCAATATTTCTTCCAACAGTCTCTCAAAAGGCGATCCCCAAGGGGGGAGGCCAAGTGCTACTAAAATTCCCTCAGAACTGCCAAACTACCAACTCCCAAGGAGCGTTCAACACCTCTTAACTCAACCCCAAGGAGACACTTTCCGAAGATGGCGATATCATACTCTATGGCTGCCCAAAAGGCAATGAGCGAGGTAGAGAAGCAAGACTTTGCTCTAAGGCAAGGGGGAATGGCAATAAGCAAATCAGGATAGACGACTTCTCAATCAGGTACGGCGTCAAGAACAGGGGAAGCCAAGTCACGATCTTTGGGGCAAAAGGCGATGGATTTCCTGCTGGAGAAGATACAAATCAAAGCAGAGATCAAGATCACGAAGGAGGTAATCAAGGGAGAAGGGTGTAAAGAGGAGGAGGTGGAAGTTTGGGAATACCCAGAAGAGGACATCCAATCGTTGAATGAGCTGTACGAGAAGCATGCGGTCCTCTTCAACTTCTCGGGGAGAAGCAGAGAGCTTTCACTGAACGAGAAGAGAAGGTGGGTGATGGACAGGCTGATAGCCATGGAGGAGGTACCAGGGAAGGAACCAGAGGTCTCGTACCACAAGAGGGGAAGGTTCGCGGTGATGATCGTCTGTGTGGATCCTACCTATGCCCAATACCTACTGTCGATTGGTGCATTGAAATGCAAAGGAGCTGCAGTCACAATCCAACCTTGGAAGCCGCCAAGACCACCTCAGGCCGAGGCATCAAGGCACATACAATCAATGCTGAGGAACCATTTCTGGGTACAATTTGACAACCTATCGGAGGGAATGCATAGCTTTGTACAAAAGAGACTGGAGGAGGAATTCCCAAGCAACCCGATCATAGAATGGCTCCCGGCCAATCCGGATTTTCTGGCACCTAACCAATGATGCAAGGGTGGCTTGCCTGGAGGTCAAGTCAGGGGCACCGCTGAAGCTCCCAGATCAATGAATCTTCAAGAAAAGTGGTCAGAGAATCATTGTCTTCATCTCCACCAAGACTAATCCATTTTGTTTCAAATGCAGGGGTAGAGGCCACCTAGGTACCTCTTGTCCACAAGGGGGATCAGGAGGAACAGAGGGAAAACGGGTGGCATTGAGGCAATCTATGCTGCAGGAATGCGAGAACAAACCAGGTGTCTGGTACATTAATTCATCTCAATACAGGGGGTGGATATTTGACGACAACCTGGAAAATCCAAGATGGGTGTGGGTCTTGAAAAGGGAACCAACGGTCAAACCAGACATTTATCCGCCTTATGATAGTAGGTGGAGACACACCGGGGCCAAGAGAATGGAGGACAAGGAAACGGGTTACTTCGTTAAACCCATTTTGGACGATCCGGTCATGCAGGACGTTGAGCAAAGATTGAAGCTCGTGAGGGAATTGCACGAGGTGGGGAGGAATGCGGAATTCGCCTTTTTAGAAAATGTTGAAGCCAGAGCACAGCAGCAAGAGCAAATAAGAGGCAATGAGGAGGGGTCAAAAGACATGGAGGAGGGTAGGGGGGACAATATGGAGTATGAGGACGGAGGGAGAAGTGAAACAGAAGGAAGAGACACCGCCACAAAGAGAAAGGGAGATTCAAGGGGTGAAGAAGGGTCTGGTACTCAAGAAGGAAGTTCGCAGCAGGGGAAAAGAAGACAAAAGACCCAATTGGGGGAGGACACTGCTGCAAGGGAGAAAGAGGAGGAGGGCGGAACCAGCAAGGAATCTTCAAGGAGCTCAGGGAAGGAGAGTGAGTCAGACACAGGCTCACAAGGCGTGGTATCAAAAGGAACCAGGGCAGGGGAGGAAGAGTCAGGCAAAGCAGGAGAGGGAGAGGTGGTCTTGATGGATAAGGATCTCTCAGAGGGGTCGTCACAGCACGAAGAGGACAGAAGCGGATCCCAGGGGTCCCAGGAACTGGAAGACGAAGACAGAGTAAGAGAAAGGGCGAGAAGGAGGGGCATGCTCAATGTTGAAAACATGTCAGTGGAACAGATCCTGCAAGCAGAGGAAGACCAGAGGGGGATCTCAGGAGACACAAAGAACGAAGCCTCTTCAGCGGAAGAGGAAGAAGAGGAGGAGGATGAGCAGGACGAGCTGGATGAGAAAGACTGGTCAAGGGAACAGTGGGTAAAGGAGGTAGAACAACTGGAATGGGGGAGAACGATTGAGTGTGAAATCAGACTGGCCCACCATAAACACCTGAGAAACCTCCAACAAGTCACACAAGCAGGGGAGGACATCACATCAAAAAACAGGTTTGAATTGCTAAGGAGGGAAGGAGAAATCAATGAGTTCTATGCTTCTCAGTACGCAAGTAAGACCCGCACAGTCAAGAATGAGATCCACGAACAGCAAGAGGAATATGGGAGAATACTCTTGATTGTCCCCCCCTAATGTTCCAGGCCCATTCTCCGGGGTCCACCTCTAGCTTCTCAATTGGTATTGTTGGATTGTACACTGTAAACTCGTCCATTTCTATCACCCTTACCTTCTGTAACCCTTGTTTGAGAATATACAGCGGTGCTTTGGATGTCCTGTCCAATTGAGAAGTAGTACTGCTCGGATGTATTATGTCGTATTTATCCGCCACTAGCCATTCGTTCCTATCTTTGTCTGTGTCCCACACCCTGAACACTACTCTAGGTTCTGAATCATCTACCCATGTGGCCCAGTCTCCCTCTCGCCATTGTTTTCCCTTTCTCAGCAAATGCACCCAGGTTGGGTGTATGGAGCCTGTGACTACCCTCAGATTATCATGAAGGTTGTGACACCCCTTCAATGTCCTCCTCAGCTCCTCTGTTGTTTTCCATCGGTTGTTCTTATCGTCCCAAATGTGTTTGATCTGCCATACTCCGTGTTCCAACCATCTACCCCATCTCGATTCTTTACTTGTTAATGCTAGAGGCTTTCCACCGTTGTCCTTAATGCTTGCATTGCAGAATAACGGTTGTCTTAATACCTCTTCTCTTGTGGTAGACTCTCTTACCCTCGCTGGGAAGACCTCCTTCCACAGTTGAATTAGTTGTAGTCAATAAGCCGAGTTTCTAGCCCTCCCTCCTTGTAGTCCCCTATTCTCTTCCCTGTAGCCCACTTTAGCCCAGTTACTACACATAATCCAGAACAGCCCCGTCATGTTGCTCGGTGTTTTGTACCTGGCTATCTGCCTAATCTTTTCCAATACTGATGATGTCCATGATAACCTGGGCTGTGAGATTAGCTTAACCACCCATTTTGTTTGCAGTGCCTTCAACTGTTGGCTTGGGTCGAGGATGCCTAGGCCCCCTTGCCCCTTGGATCTAGTTACCGTTCTCCATGCCACGTTGGTTATGAAATGTTTTGTGTTGTGCTTCGCCGTCCACAAGAAGGTTGTTGCCTTTCTCCTAAGCTGGGCCGACGTGGCCTTGGGCGGAGTCCAAATAGACCCCGCGTACCACGTCATGGAAAAGATTGACGCATTCAGAATCAGTGCTCTTCCATGTATTGATGTGTACACCGCCGACCAAGCACCGAACTTTGCTAACATCTTGGCCATAATGTCAGCCGCCATAGAATGGTGTGCCCCTCTTCTGTTATTTTGATCCCTAGGTACCGGAGTGGTTGCTGTGGAGTCATCCATTGAAGCCCCTCCGGGCTTGTGACCGGAATCTGATTATCTGGATCTAGCTCTGCTAGCCACCATCCCACTGTTTTGTGCCAATTGATTTTCATTTCTGAAGCCAGCTGGAAGGCTTCCATTGCCCTTGTTAGCGCTTGGAAGGAGGAGTCCGTTGCCCTGATTAAGACTGTCAAGTCGTCTGCGAATAATAACGTCGTGGGGATTTCAACCTTGTGTCCTTGCTGGTCTGGTGGTGCTATTAATCTTTCTATTGACGGGTCTTTTCTTAGAAAGGAGGCTATTGCCTCCATAATAAAGAGAAAGATAGGAGCTGCTAAGGGGTCCCCCTGCCTAACCGATCTTGACATCGGGTAAGTCGAAGATAAGTGACCGTTAACCTGTACTTGTCCCCGCGCATTGTTATATAAGACCCTTATCCATTTCCTAAAGTTCGGCTCTACCCCCATCTTTTCCATGCACAACTGTAAGAAAGGCCAACTGACCTCGTCATAAGCCTTTTCGAAGTCTAAAAAAAGGATGGCAGCGTTGATTCTCTTGTCCCTGATATAGCGGACCGATTCTGTTAGGCACATGACATTGTCTAGGATAAACCTACCCGGAATGAATCCTGTTTGATCCAGATGGAAGCAACCCGCCGTGATCTTGGATAAGCGATTAGCTAGGGCCTTAGCTACTATCTTGTGAGTGAGAGTCAACAAGGTTATTGGTCTGTAATTTCGTATGTCCACTGGACTCCCTTTTTTGTAAAGCAGCGTAACTATCCCAGTTGCGGGCTCGCTTCCTATACCCTCATCCTGCCATGCCTGTTCTAGAAAGAACAGGTATTCTTCGCCCAATATTGGCCAGAGTTCTAGCCAGAACTCTCTGGTCAGACCATCTTTCCCCGGGGTTTTATTCGGAGCCATCGTTTTTCGTGCCTCCCATAACTCTTCCTGTGTTAATGGTTCGTCCAGCATGGTCGTGTGCTTTCGTGATATTGTGCTCTGTAGATAATTCAGAAACTTTGATCTTGCTTCCTCTATCCTAGGCTTCGAGAGTTGGTCTTCCACTGATGTGTATAGTTTACTGTAGAAGTCGAAGGCCACCCTTAACAACCCTTCCTTGTCTGAAGTAAGTCCCCCTTCCTCTTCTAATCGCTCTATGAGGTTATTCCTGCCCCTAGTCTTAATTTTTTGGAAGAAGAATTTGGTCATTCTCTCCCCTTCCTCCCATTCCTTGACTGTAGCTCTCATTCGTAAGCCTTTCATTATCCACCGTTGCCAATCCGCCATCTCTCCTCTTGTCGTCTCCAATATTCTTTCGTATAATTCATCTCCTGGCCTATTAATGGTATTGTGCTCTGCTATCACTATTGCTCGCGCCAGCTCTCCCTCTCTTTCCTTCTTCTTCGTTGCCAGCCTCCTAGCCACTATTGTTGAAGCCTTAGAAAGTGTTGATAGCAGTTCTGGGAATGAGTGTGTGTCTGGGTTGTGCTCCTGACACACTTGCCAGACCGCCTGCCTCATTTCTTGAGTTTTTAGGAGGGAGTTATTGATTTTGTAGAACCCCTTACCTCTGCTAATTTGTTTTTTTGATGTTAAGTTCAAATGGATAGGTTTGTGATCTAAACCCAGGTCGTACGGTAGGCTACCTATGTTTACTGAATGTAACATGCCCGTTATGCCTGGCGACGTTAAGAAATAGTCTATCCGGGAAACCGAGACATGTTGGCTACGGTTTCTCTTGCGGTGATAGTGCAACCTATAGGGATCTATCAGTTCTAAACTCGTTATTAGCCCATGAATCGGTAGCGATTCTTCTGTCCAACCACCCTCCTCTGATCTAAAGCCTCCTGAAATTCTATCTAGGCTGGGATCTAAGGTGGCGTTCCAGTCTCCTGCTAAAATCAAGTGCCTATTCTCATCAAGGAGTTCCTTAAGCCTTTCGACCATATCTATTCTTTGTTGATAGCCATTCGGACAATAAACCGAAAGTAGCGTGTAGGGTTCCTCATGAAGCTCGAAATCGACCTTGACCCATCTGCCCTCTTCCTCGTCCACCCTTGTTTCTATGATGTTAATCTTACCTGCAGCCTTAGCCCTTTTGTTCTGTAGTATAACTACTCCCTTGGAATGGTTGCTTGTTGCTGGGGCCCACCATGCCGCTTTAATTCTTTGCAGTTTCTTCTCGATCTTGTGCTTTATTTTCTGGTGTCCTTCAGATTCTTGTAGATGTGTTTCCTTCAAGCACAAGAAATCCGGTGGAGACGAAGTGAACCATTCTGAGTGATTTACTACATTTTGCCACTTGTCTCCATTCTCTAAAATCCCAACTAACCCATTCACATTCCATTACGCTATTTTGAATTCTGGTAGACCCGTTTCTTGGTCTCTCTATCTCTCCTCTCTCCATTAGGTCCCCTTGTTAGAATATGGACTTCCCTTCTATCTTTCCTTGTTCAAGTGTCTAGTGGAGTGAGTTCTATGGTGATTGCTACCTCACTTACCCTCTTCTCGAAGAAGTTCGGCTTCCATCTCAATGCCTCCATCTTCACTGCCACCGTTGCGCATCTAGCCGCCCATTCCGCCCCTACTTCCCCTCCCAGTAGCCCATAGGGAATGGTTTCCACTACCTGCCAGGGCATCCAGATCAACCCCTCCCTTAATTCGGACTCCTCCCCCATTTGGAATAGCAGCGGTCCGAAGTCGACTGTTGTCTCCTCCTCTCTTTCTTCCCCTATTGTCATCGGCTCCTCTCCTCCCTCCCTCAGTACAAAGGCTTGAGATGGCACCTCCGCCCCTATTAATCTCTGAAGATCCGAGCCTGAGCATTCCTCCATAGGGGCTGTTAACAGTTGCAAGAACTGGTTAATTGCTACTTCCCAGTGTGAGTGTGTTGTGTTCCAGCGACAGGGCAAAACCACTCTCCTCCTTGCCTCATTCTTGGTTTCCATTCGAGCTGCAACTTTTATTTCCTTCCACTGACCCTTTGCTATTTTCTGCACGTTCACTATGTCCTCATCCAATTCCCTATTTTCATCCTTGAGTAGGATATCCTGTGCCACCAAAATTGCTGCTTGTCTTCTCAAGCCCTGCACTTCTACCTCTTCACTCTCTCCTTCCACTCGGTCCTCATCCATTGTTGTGTCCTCCACTGAGAAGATTCAATATCCTCCAATATACCACAAAAATAGGATATAGGTTGAGGAACAGATCCCGGTCCATGGGACTTACTCTGTCCAAGCGCTGGGAGAAAAGGGTGGGGGTCCCCAGGAGCCAAATGTTAGACATACCGTGGTCAAGCATTCTATCTATAAGACTGGGACAGGTTAGAAGTATGCAATGGCTAATAGCGCATGTGGCACTGCCAGTGAATGTGTGGCTCAACGAAAGAAGAAGTCACAACCAGAGAAGCGAGGAAGCTGAGCTATGCAGAGTGTGCCAAGAAGGGCATCCAGAAACATTGGTGCATTGTCTGCTGGAATGTAAGGAGGTGGAGGGAATGTGGGAGCAAGTCAGGGGAATTTGGAAACAGGTAGCGACGATAGTTTTCCCAGAGTCAAGAACTGCAAGGCTTTTGGGTGTTGGGGTACCCAAATGGTGGCAACCCTACCAGAGACACATCTTCCAGCTGCTGAGACAATATGGGCTGTGGACCATTTGGAAGAGGAGATGTCAGACCACTATGGAAGGAACGCTAATACATAGAGAGGAAGCCAGGGAGCTGCTTCTCAATGCAGTGGAAACACATCTCAATGTGCAATGGGAAGGGGTGAGACAGCAGGCACGGCAACAACCAGGACATGAGGAGGAGATAATCAAAAAATTTAAACAGAATGCGTTGGGTCAGGGGGCTGAGGCGTACAACTTCGCT